GCGCGGATTTCGTGGATCCAATGGAACAAGTACACCCCGCCTCCCGTGGGTGCGGTGTACGTCGATAAGACAATGCTGGTAGCTCGGCACGAAGTTCCTAAAGATCTGGAGAAACCGCGGTACACTCACTATATCGGTACGCTCAGCTCGCCCGAGAACTTCGGTACTATTGTTTATGTAAACGAGGTGAGTATCGAGATTGCGAGTTCTTTCGAATTTTTCCGAATTGATAAAAGAGAAAAGTGCATTGCCATCTTCCTGTTTTGATTCCGCCTTGGCAAAACGTAGACGTCAGTATTAGAAAACAAGATTCCAAGTTAAACTTTGGAAGCGTGAAATAAACTTCTCGTTCAAAGCGTGTTGCCAACACGATAAGGATTGATGAATAGGAATATCGCATTAAATTCAACTTATTGATTCTAAGAATTTTTTTTTTTTTTTTTTTGTTAAAAAGTCATTAAATTCGTGGCAGATATGCGTCATATTAATGACAGCATAATTCATTCGCGAAGTAATTGAGTTGCCGACGGCGAACGTATGAGATTCGGTTTTCTTTCGCAGAAAGGCGAAGAAGAGTCTGCGAAGTCTGGTGAGCTGCTGGTGGAGGCCGAGCCGATCCGTTATGAGCTCAGCTCCGTTAAACTTAACTGGTCTAAGAGGCGCGATATTAAGCGCGTACCTCGCATACTCAGCGAGGCGACGATCGTCAACCGCGGAGCGGAACCGGCAAACTTGGCGGAAGCCTGTGTATACAGCTACAAGTACTCGGTCTACTGGGGTCGCAGGCACGCCATCCTGAACGGTCTGAGCACCACGATCACGCTAATTAACGGCACGTTCTTACCGAACATAACGTGGGGTACGCGCGATGATGAGAATCGCACGGAGGCTTACAAGTAAGTATCGTTTTAAACTGTCATGAGCAATGAAGTTGAACGGCAGGTATGCAAATTATAGAGCTTTTCTTTATGCGTATCCAGAGATCAAATGTTTCATTTATATTCTAAAAGATAGCGAGTCAAAGTCATGTAGAAGTTAAAGTGACAAGTTAACATTTAAATTTTATTTTTACGAAGCGTTATGGAATTGCTAATTTAAATTAACCCTATCCTACCTATCTCCCCTAGTCACGCTTGCATAATGATTGCGAACATGATGAAGTGTGGAGCTTCTATCATCGCGTTTGCGGCGAATGAACAGATCAAAGGTGGATAATCGTGAGGATCGACGCGAATTGGCAACGTAGAACATTAAAGTCATAAGTCGAATAAGCGTATGATTTGCAGCGATTCGCTCGTAATCTCATCTCTATAATTAGATATAATTAGAGATCGAATTTATTTCGTAATGTAACTGTGCTCTATCTCCCTTCCCCTCCCCTCTCTCTCTCTCTCGCCCATTTTCTCTGGTTAGCCCCCCGAGACACTTCATCGCTTCCTGTGCATCATTGAAGCTCGCGCGCGGCGGAGATGAGTCTGGAGTGCACTTTGCACGACAACTTCGTACCACCCTTCCCGCTCAGTATGCCCTAGAATACTCCGTCGTGCTTTCAGCTTAAATGATGCTTCAACGCAACACAATTACGATTATACATCGGACCCGCGTTCCAGTTGCAGTACAATCCAATGCTACGTTAACACGTTCAGTTCTCGAGTTCCTTGGTAATCCTAAACGTGTCCTTACATAAATTATAAATATATATTATATTTCACCTGAATAACGAAACTAAATTACCAATTAAATTTTTTTTATAGGTACGAAACTTTTTATAAATACGCACGACTCCTTATTTATTGCTAAAAAAAGATACACGTACGATTTATATTATAGAGATTTCTAAATTGAGTCAACAAGCTTGACATGTTTTCTTTGCACGTGTCTTTTACAGCGTGCTGGTCTACCTGCAACCTGGTACGGGCGTAAACGTGACTCTGAAGGCAAACTATACGGACATGGAGGTACCATACTCCGCAAACTTGATTTCGCATTACGAGGACAGTACGACGACATCGCGCATGATTAGCGGCACTCGACAGGAGGAAACATTGTTCGACATCACACCGGAATTCGGGCCCATCTACTTCCTAAGCAATTTCAGCTTGGTACCAACTACCATGCCACCGCCTATTACGACCACCGAATCACCGACTACGACGTTGATGACAACGACGATGGTGCCGACAACAATGAAGCAAGATTCGAGCCGGACAACGCACCGGCACCAGATGGACGACTCGGACATAGATCACGACGAGAACCTAATCACACCACCGAAGAAAACGGACATATCGACGGGCATGCATAATGATAACAATACTCCGCTGTTACTCAAGGTCGAGGTGCAGTATGGCGGTGCCACGTCCGTTGCGTTTCAGTCGAGCTTATTGACGCTCGTTATTCCGCTTCTACTGCTGCTGATCCTCCATAAAATTACGTGAAGACCCGATTGCATGTTCGCCACCGCCGCCTCTAAACGTTAATTCCTAATTCCCGCAATAGTAATATAATAATATAACCCAGTAGACGACACAGTCCCAAAAATGAAAAAAGAATTAAAAAGAAAAAAAAAATTACACAGAAAAAAAGAACAAAAAAATACATATACGCGGAAAGAAAATTGCTGTAATTTCGTATGTAGCGATTATCGCGTAAACGACTTCCTTTTATTTCAACACTCGTACATACATGCACCGTTGGATTGCGGTGCTGATACATGCTTGCCTTTAAAAAAACTCGATATTTAATATATATAAATATATATCTATATTATTATACACACAAACAACACACATACACACAAATGCGCTTAGAATAAAAAGAGAGAGCGAGAGAAAAGTATCTTCGCAACTGAACAATGGAGCTAGTCTCACGACAATGAGTTAAGTACAAGAACGAGATCGCAGCGACTGATGTGCAGGTAGATTAACCTGGCCGCGAAACGTTCACCCGTTATATTGTTGAACCGACCGTGTAACATTCCGTCTTTTTCTAATCCTGCTGTGAATTGACTTTCCAGCTATAATGTATGTCTTATGCCTTCGCAAAAGCGTAATTCTAGATCCTTTTAGAAGACTAATCGCTTTAAAGGACATTCTTTTTTTTTTAGAGAGAGTTGAGAAAGAGCTATAAATGCCGCGAATAACGTTTTGAACGAATAGTAGCGTATATATGTATCGAGTCGGGAGGCAAATAGAAGTTAAGCAATGGAGGAAAAGAGCAAGATATGCGAATTAATTCTGCTACGATATATTTTTGAGAGATTGTCGTATAATTTTAGAAGATTGTAAAATTTATAAGGATAGTAAGTAAGAGAGAAAATCGTATAAAGTGTAGGGGGGTAGATGGGTACGTTTTTTTTTACGATACAATTCGATTAAATTCTAAAGTTATTACAGCGAAATGACAAACGTACGAGCTAATCGCTTAATGTTTAATTATATATTACAATAACGTTAAGTGATAATGCTATTCACGAGCGTGTTGAATTTGTTGATGCAGTATGTGTATTTTTTTCGATTTTAAACAATTGTGTACCCATCTGTTGCTAGTACGTAAAGTGATAGGACTTGCAGGTTTCTTAGAATACTGTTGAAAAAGACGTATAACGATGGAGGAAGCATTGGTATATATAATATAAATATCTAAATAATCTATTAATAAAGAAGAGGATAGAATATTTTGATACGCGTGAGAAGTATAAAATTATTGATTTCAATGTTTTGTGGAAGCATTTTTTTTGTTTACTCGAAAGACTAAGACGACGGTCATTTTTTCATACGAGGTTGCGTTGTCAGCGTTTTTACCGAAGAAGTATCCACATGTATGTATATAATATGTATTTCTATGATCTTGATAGTTGTAATATTGTGTAGGCTTATTTATATAATATGATTTATAGATATTTTCTCTATCGATAGCGTCACACACAAGTACAATTATATTTTACTATTAATCGATGAATACCGTAGGATTAGCGCGAAACCGTTTATTTCGGGCTAAAAGTGTCTCTAACGACGTTTATTAACGTAAGCCTAATCACGCCTGTTGTGATATTCAATGAAAACCTTACATAAATACGAAAAGGAAAAAGAAAGCATTATTTTGAACAATTCGTTGATTGCGAGAGAAAGCAATAATTCGTTGCGAGATCGAAAGACTTGCGAGGAAGTCAGAGAAAGGCAACGATAGAAGACAAACGCAAATAAAATTTGTGTATCTATGATATTTCTTTGATATTCCTACTTAATGGACGAAACGTAATTAACGAGTGGGCGGCGCGATTTTAGTATAGAGTTCGAAAAAGGAAGCTATATGTTCGTACAACCTAAGATCACAAATTAACTTCTTGACAATTCACCCTATATGCCGGTAGAGACGTAAATAAATCCTAAAAAAAAAAAAAACTCGACTTTGGCGAAGCCAAGAATAGTTCTAAAAATATCTATATTCTCAACACTCAGATGTATTATTTGTGAATAATGCTGCTGTATTGTACATTATCATGTAAATATAAACGCTATGTACATATAAAAGAGTTCCTGGCAATATCCACATTTCTCAGAATCTCCAATAAGTAGATTATACAATCAAGAACGCAGAAAACTTTGTATTTTGATTTAGAAAAATCAAAATTATTCCATGAGAAATGTATCAATATTGAAAGATAAGAATACGTGATATGATCAACAAAATCTATTGAAATTTCTATATTTTTGGAATATATGTATATAGATCCTAAATTTTTATTTAAAAAATCAAGAAGTGTACGAAAATATTTTAAAATATAAATCGAATATAATTTCCCAATACTTGGGCTGCGTTCTACTTAACGCTCGCAACACTTGTGAGTATCGTTTGTCCTTAAAGGATGAAATTATTTCACGAGCATTGTGAGTGTTAGTGGAACGCAGCCTTTGTATTATTGATTATTATACATTTCAGTTATTTTTTTATGTAAAATATATCTGAATTATTAATGATAAATTTCATGAAAAACTTACCAAGAACACCATATTGCTGCGGAGTAAGTTTTTCATTATTGTCTGGACCTCCTGGCACAGAGGAGATGAGTGATGCACGATCACTAATATGACTTCTAGTGCTGGCTTCACTTCTTCTTGCCCAAGATGCTTGTGACAATACATCTAAATGTTTGGTGTAACAAAAAACATTTTGCTTTATTATATAATTATTAATAAATTTAAATGTATTCAAATTTTACATTGCATTTAACTTCATAATTAAATTGGTTTATGTAACGTGACAGCATATCAATAGTATTACCAAAATTAGCATTCTTAATATTTCCTAATCTTGTTTTGTAATCTCTGTAATGCCTTTTAGAAGGTGGAATAGGGTGTCTTCGTCGTCTCTTCAAAAATTGTGCCAGTCCTCCTAGTAATATTGAACCGCTAGTGAAGCAGATAATAAAAATCTGAAAGAAACATATACAACTAATAGACTTATACTCGTGACACCAAATTTAAATTTTAATAATAAAATCTCCGTGTAATTGTTTGCCTGATCTTATAATTTTTTTGCATTATTATGTAATGATCAAGTGCAAATAATGAAACTATTTACTCTAACCTTGAGAAGTCGCCGACTTCGCTCTTACCTTTTGCGTACGAGATAAGTGTATTGCCGGTAATGAGAACATGTAACGCTGATACAACGTGCCAAAGAATTGCCGCACGTTGAAAAGAGACATTGTCATTCACTTTGTTATAAACAACATTAACCAAAATTCACGCGTGCTGCCGAATCCTCGTTGATCCTCGTTGCATGAAAGCTGCCATCTGCTGAACGTTACCATGGGTTAATCATTCGCAGCCGGTTATAAAACTTACCCGATAAAACAGACTACATTCTCGTAATTGTATCGCTCTCCTTCGTTTCCAAAAATTTACTTATTTGATTTCATTCTTAAAATAGGACAGACTTGCTTTGGTATTCAGTTTCGGTAAAATTCACCTAAAAGAGTAATAATAAAAAAATAAAATAAAAAAAGAAATCCGAGATGAAACACATAGAATCTTTTATTTTTTTTTTCATACAAAAAATATGTCTTTGAAAATAGCAAGAGAATACTAAATTATTGTCCATTCACATATTATCCCAATCACAAGAATCAAAGCATTCATCATCGACTTCGAGTAACTCTTTAATATTTGAAGGAGACACTTCTGGAATTGCTGGAGAAATCTCCATATCATGCTGTGACTGCGATCCAGAGGACGAAGAAATACTGAAGAAAGAAGTCAAGTCTCGTTGCTTGCTATTCTGCACTACGATGTCGATATTATTTATTGAGAGATCCTGTTTAAGACCGACTGCATTTAGAATGTCCTTTTTCTTGTTAAGCAACGGCCATATATAATCATCTGCAGTGTTTTGTGCTATCAAGTATTGGATTGTGACAATATTGTTTTGTCCGATTCTATGCACTCTGTCTTCCGCTTGAGACAAGATCTGAAAATGATTTCATACGTTAACGTGAGATAAATTTTATACATACTCTATTAAGATTTTTTTTTTTGATAAACATTAATTACACCGGGGTTCCAAAATAATTCGGTGAAGACCACGAGATTTGCGGCCGTTAATGTAACACCTGTGTTCACAGCGGTGATTGACAGAACCGCCGCTAAACATTCATCACATTCTTGAAACTTATCGATCAGAAGTTGCCTCTGTTCTGAACTAGTTTTGCCATCGATTCTTATATATCTGGAAATTGTCATAATTGCAATATATGACGTACTGGCGATAATTATAAAAACTTAAACAGATAACTACTCAATTTCATCAGACTCTAATGTATGAAATAATTAAAAATTAAAAGAAGTCTTTCAGAGCTAATACAAATTGTTAGTGTAAAAACATATATATTTTATTAAAAAAGATAAACATATATATATGTTTTAATCCTGCTTTGAATCCTTTTCAATATAATTTTAATATTAAAAATTCAATGATAAAATTCATCAGGAACATAATTATAAAAAGAATTAACATGAGAATTAATCATTCATTAAATTAAATTGATCAAATGATTCTCACATCTGCATCCTATTAATAAAAACTTACACTATGTCTACAGATTCAGCAGCTTCGCAAATAGCATCCAAAATAATTTGGTGATGACCATACAAAATACATTTTTTCTTATTTTTAAATAGGTTTGTAACGTAATTGCTGTAATGTACCAATGTTAAATTAATTAAAATAGAAATTATTTACTTTTTTTAAAAAATATAAGTATACTATTTACCCACCGTACTGCCTTCACTCTCGCATGGCTAGACTGAGAATAATATTGTATTAGAGCATTATGCCTTTCCAAAGCCGAAATATTTGTTTGCAATTGTTGCGACATCTCCCTCATTTGCTTGTCAGTTTTTACCAAACCTGAATCTAAAATAATCACTTCCCTAAAACGCACAAATAAAAATATGCTTAGACTTCTAATCAAATTGCTGACACATCATAAAAATATTTTCTTTTAAAACCTTATCTTAGATGGCATCTGATTTAAAACGTCAGCTTTCAGCCTTCGAATCATGCAATTCAACTTCAGCAGCACTTGTAACTCTTGTGAATTTGAGGAGCCTAAGAAATCCCAACCATACGCAGATCTCTGTCCTGCGCAATAACGTATACCATAATCCTCATAGCTGCAAAATAATACTTATAAAATATATACCTATTTATATAACTAAAATAAGTATCAAAATATCTAGTCTTTCTAATTACCTCATAAAATGTGGAATAGCAAGGCTAATCTGTGTATACAATTCGATTGGTCTCGACAGAGCCGGAGTGCCTGTGAGCAGTACAATATGACGTGCATGAGTACATATTCGACTAGCAGCTTGAAATCGCGCAGTCTTATTGCTCTTCAAAAAGTGAGATTCGTCCTACAATTTCATAAAATACAATAGCAATAACAACGTTCATATTTGATTTATTAAAAAATAATGTATATATTTATATACCAAAATAACAAATCCATAAATATGTTTCGCAAAAGTATTTTCGGCTCGCACTAACAAATCATATGATGTTATAGTGATTTTGTCATCTTCAATGCGATCTTTTGCATGCTCAAATTGATGAATGTAATGTACAGGTACGGATGGTAAGAATTTACAGATTGCTGCAGACCACTGATATCTATATAAAGCATCTCTAATATTAATACTTTCATCAATTACAATTTATATCAATTACAACAGAACACTTACCTCACTGACGAAGGAGTTACAATAAAAAGTGGCCAACTTTCTTTATAATAATGTGCAATGCCTAACGCTTGTATAGTTTTTCCTAAACCCATATCATCTGCAATCATACAACGACCATTCTTCGATATACCATAGCTGGAATAAATTATACAAAATATATTAATAAAAATATATGTATAAAATACACACAGTAATTGCATATAAAAATAGATTTACCAAATGCCCTCTCGTTGAAATGGCATTAAAGATTTTGTTAACTTTTCATCAATTTTTGATAAATCATATTCTGGTAATTGAGTGTCTGACTTTAAGTTTTTTTTGAATATCTAAAATAGAAATATATGCGATTATTTGTAGCTTCTTAATGTGTTTTTACTTTATTTCCAATTACCCGAAGGACAGCCTCTGGTATCCTTGTTAGAGATAAATCACAATGTTTAGAATACAATGTTTTTAATAAATTATTATAATCATCGAGGTGAAAATTCCATATTCTGGATTTTAAATCTGTAAAATTAAATATTAATAAAAATTAGAAATATTGTACATATCAAGTCAAGCAACTTATAGTTACCATATATTCTGCTTGGAACTGTTCTAAATGTATCAATAATTTCAGGTATAAATGCTGATAATTCTATGGCAAATCTATCATTACTGATCATGTAACATTTTCCTGTTACAGATACCATTGGATTGAAAAATTTTTTGAGTTCTATAGGATTGAAACGATTATTTGTTTTGTTTTGTCGTATAATATTTTCATTGTCATTTAAGTTTGTTTTATTTTGTCGTGCAATATTTTCATTGTCATTTAATTTTGACTGTTGACGAGTTTGATTACTTATGGGTGTACTTTGTGCTTTTAATTGAGATTGCTGCCTCCTCTGCAATGCTAATAAACGCTTTTTCTCGATTTCTTCGGGAGTACACATTTTATCTACAAAAGAAATCATTTTTTAATTTACTATAAAATATTGCTTTCTGAAGATAAAATACTTTACAAAAAAAACTTTACTCATTTTACTTCCTTTGGCGTACTTCAACGGTTACAACAAATATATATTATTGCAATATCTTAAACTAATAATGTTCTAATTTATTTCCTACAAAGGATAATGTAATAAATAATCCTACACCAATATTGCGTTATTACAAATATAAATTATATTCCAGCCATGCTTATTAATGGTACAAAAACGCATTACTCTTATAAATTCTAAATGTTGTTAAATAAAAAGTAAACGATAAATTTATTAAAAATATCAATTATCATGTTTCACTATCACTATAAACAAAAATATATGTATATAGTTCTTTCGTACAATCGTACATCATCTTTTTCACTAGTCACATCATGTGACTCACATGTGCATTGAGTAGCTTAGTTGTTTTCCCTAAAACAGTTCCCTAAAAATTTCCCTAGTTAGATGGGTGTGATTGGTGTGAAGTCAATATTAAGGTCATTCTACATTGTCGTATCGTAGACATCGCAGTCGCAAGCTCGTTGCTTCAGCCAATCCGATGCTTCAATTTTAACCAGATCTACAATAGATGTTTTAAGCTTTAAGCCATAAGAATTGACCAACTACAGTCGAATGCGAGAAGAATAATTGTGATTCGTCCATTCCTTATTGCTTAAAGCTTAAAAATCTATTATAGATCCGGGATAAAGTCACATAATGCTTACGACGCTTTCGACGCTACGATACGACAATGTAGAATGGCCTTAATATTGGCCTGAAAAAGCAGGAAATTTAAACGCAAGATTGAAAAATCTAGTATACTACGAATGAAATTAAATCTCTCTCTCTCTCTCTCTCTCTCTCTCTCTCTCTCTCTCTTTTCTCTTATTAAAAATAATATTTTTTATTCCAATTAGTATATTATTGAGCATATTGTATTAATGACATGTATTATATTTTATTAAAAGAAACTTCATAAGGTTTTATTGTTTTAAGCTTTCGATTCCAATGGAAACTTCCTTTAACATAGCCAACGCGTTGCGTAGTAAAAAGTTGACAACTGATTTCGTTGCAAGGTCATGGGCATCATTAGTTATTGTTTCCATCTACCTTTCGTTCACTTATATCATATATGAGGTATAGAACAATTTGCGTGCAAGTGAAAAATATTTTCATTTGAAATGCTCTTATTAGGAGGTTATAAATTAAATTTGTTACTTTATTATTAGGTTAGGTTTCATTATTGATAGTTGTTGAGTTTAGCAACCTCATAGCTTATCGTTTGCTATATACGAGGTACAAAATTTTGACAATGGATGACGGTGCCATTTAATTATGTCTAATCGCTGCGCCTAAGCGAAATGCTGTCACTGTTAAAAAATACCATTGTATTGCCTTAACGGAGCTCATTAATATTGTAGCTACATTCTCAAGCGTTCATCATGTCAACACCAAAATTTCCTTTGAAGGAAAATGTAGTATCATGTATGTATTGCTATATATATTAGGTGTTGGAATTAATTCGTAGCGTTTTACAAGTGATGGGAAGTACTTTCATTAATGTATTTTTTAATGCTCATGTGAAATAAATAACATTCTTTCATTAAAAAACGCTACGAATTAATTCCAACACCTAATATATATATATATATATATTGATAAAATTGATTGATTTTTGTAAAATGCATCTTAATATATTATTTCAGCCATGCACCATGAATTTATCGTGCCAAAAAAGTGTGTTAAGACACCAGACGATCTAGCGCTTTGGCAAAGATCAGAAGCTTACTATGTAAGAATTTTTTAGTTTATTTTTCATTGGAACTTTATTTTAATTAGTATGTGATTATATGAAAATATATTCTATACATGTCACAGTAAAAACATAAAATTATTGTACATTTATTAGTCAATATATGTATTTTTATAAAATTTTTAAACAAAAGCATCAATTAAATATATAAATGCCTAATATTTCTAATAAATTATTAATTTACTAAATAATGTATACATTTGCTACAACACAATCATAATATATTACAAATTATTTGTTACAACAAAAATATATACTTCAGTAAATGTACTTATATATTAACTATTATAAATTTTATGCTTTTACTGTCATATATGTTTAGTATATATTTATATAAATAAAAGATAATATTATTTAAATGTATTTTTATAAAATATTATTTATAGGAATATCTAGGATTTATTTTGACATTAAACAGTGCTGTTCAAGGGACTGCTTTGGACGCACAATGTCCACAGTCACCCGTAATAAACAATATTGTACACATGTTGAATAGATTTGATGAATGGATAACAGAAATTCCACCTACCGAACAACCACAGCGATTTGGCAACAAGTCGTTTCGCACGTGGCATGAGAGATTACAGCAGGTATGTTATTAGCATTGTATTTAAGAATGTATATTACTCTTAAGTTATTGAAAAATTATAAGATATTTAATTTATGATTACTCTTATTACAGAATGGTACAGAGGAATTGAAGCAAGTTTTACCAGAAGATCTATATCGTGCGATCCCAGAGATAGTGCAGTATTTATATGAAAGTTTTGGGAATCCAACTCGTATCGACTATGGAACAGGTCACGAAATGGCTTTCCTTATGTTCCTCTGCTGTATGTTCAAGATAGGTGCATTTGAAGAAAATGATAAGATTGCTGTTGTAATAAAAGTGTTTAATAGGTACATTAATTTAATTTAATATATTACATGATCTCTTATTATCTTCCCAAATTATTTAAATCGCGTTTTTCTCTGCTTAGGTATCTGGAATTGGTGCGTAGACTTCAGCTGACATACCGTATGGAGCCAGCAGGTAGTCACGGTGTTTGGAGCTTGGATGATTATCAATTTGTCCCCTTCATATGGGGAAGTGCTCAGCTCATTGGTATTAATTTTTGTATATATTTTTCAATATATTCTTTAGCGATAATATAATACAGTGATTTAGAAGTTTCTTCTGCTTCTAAAATTATATAATTTAATATTTTAGGACATTCTCGGATAGAACCACGTCATTTTGTAGATCAAGCTATTGTGGAATCTTACAGCAAAAAATACATGTTTCTTGGCTGCATTGAATTTATCTCAAAGGTACATAAAGATATTCATATAAAGATTTATTAGATTTTTTTTTAGTGTGATTTACTTAAAAATAAGAACATTTTGATAACAATTGTGTTTTATTAGGTGAAAATAGGACCTTTTGCCGAGCACTCAAATCAGTTATGGAATGTTAGTGCAGTGTCCTCATGGTCGAAAGTGAACAGTGGTCTTATAAAAATGTATCAAGCTGAGGTAATTATAGTCGATGGAAGTTAGAAAAAAGAATTGCTGTCTCTATCGTATCTATTTGCTAGGTATTGGCGAAGTTTCCTGTTATCCAACACGTTTTCTTTGGTTCTCTGCTACCATTGACACCAATGGTCCCGAAATGCTCTAAACCAACCGTTACTCCAAATTACAAAAGAACTGTTAATGATAATGAGCCACCGCCACCAGCGGTGCCACAATGAAAATTGCATTCGTAATAAATATTGTTACTCTTGAACTACTTTACATTTCCAAGTATTTATTATAAAATATTATTTTACCCTTTTCACTCCTTTCATTTTATATTTTCATTTTAGATGCATTTTTCTAGCTTGTTAGAAATTTATATTATATTTATTATAAAACAGTATCTGTATTGTTGAGAAATGTAAAAAAATAAATAACATAATGCAAATATGTTTAGATGACATATTATATGCAAAATTATACATTATTTTTGATTCTGTAATCGTTGATTTTTTGAATAAAAATAATAGATTTACATCTCACAGAAATCTGAAGTCTTATGAAAAACGACGTGTCTTATTTCATTATAAATATTGATTTTATTTTTATAAAATCATTATTGATTTTTATAAAATCCTGCTAATATTCTTAGCTTATGAAATACTTAATATTTTGACGTACGAAGTACGTTCTGACCGAAGTTCGTCTCTATGGAAACCGGAAAAGTGTTGCTACCCATTGTATACTTATATAACCTCGAACATCTTATACGGAAAGGTTTGTGTACAAACATATTACAAGAACTTATAAAGTAAGCGTTATATAATTTTAAGAAGAAGTTTTTCTTTTTTTTTCTTTTTTCAAAATGGATTTCCGATCCATTAAGGTGGATCACAGTATTATAAGTTGAAAACAGATCAAAAAGTCCAGTTGGTCCTATATCCTGCCTATCTATCTAAAGAAAAGTTGAACTGGTTGAAGACATAAAAATCCTACCAACCGGTGGAAGTAACTTCAAAAATTATCCGAATTTACAAAGATATTAATGTAACTATTGTTACAGAGTGATAAATATTGGAGAAATTCGTGAAAGCTACACATAATTTGCCATGATTAGGATATCAATTTTTATATTATTTTTGACAAACTTTTACACCACACTTTGCCAGGATATTGAGATTGACGCAAATGGCTATATTGTTTACTGTCCCTGCATGGGTAAGATCTTGATTTTTATCACATCTATGATATCATCAAACATGTCAATAATAATCTTTGATCCTTATTCCAGGCCGCTTTGGTAACCAGGCAGATCATTTTCTAGGAGTCCTCGGATTCGCCCAGGCTTTGAACCGTACGCTAGTATTACCGCCATGGGTTGAATATCGCACTGGAGAGACAAGATCTGTAAGCACAAGGCTTATCCTGGCGAAAATTTTTCTTATAATTTTTATACGAATTGGAACATTTTTCAGAAATATTCAGAAATATTTGGAAAGTTTATATCTTCTCTCAGAATTTCATCCATGTGATTTCTAAAATATTCTGAGATTTCTCATTCCATAATTAAAAAAAAATATTTTTTAATTTTTTAAATTTTGTAACATTTTATCAGAAATTATTCTTACAAAAAATCTTAGAAATCTTATGATATTTTATAATTAATATATATGAATAATTCTGAGAAAATTTTGTAAATTAGAGTTGGCGTTCCAATTCGTATAAAAAATATGAGAAAGTTATAAAATTATATAGAAATTCTGAAAAATTATATGAAAAAGTCTGAGAAAAATTTTTACTAGGGTAATGCGTAGCATTATTCGTAAATTTTATAACAGTATCTAATATCTAATTTTATTCTAGGTACAAGTACCATTCAATACTTATTTTAATGTTTCTCAAGTACAAAGTTGCCACAAAGCAATATTAATGGAAGATTTTATGAAGGATATTGCGCCGAAGATATGGCCATCTGAAAAAAGAACATGTAAGTTCTAATTCTTTTGAGGAAGCAAGATATTTTAATGTTATAATTCTTTTGAAAGAAACATGAATTCTTCATTCTTTTCCAGCTTTCTGTTATGAAGCTCGTGTAGGTAGCAACGGAACATCTTGCAATGCCAAACAAGGGAATCCATTTGGTCCCTTCTGGGACACATATAATATAGATTTCGTTAAATCAGAATTTTACAAACCACTCCATTATCATGACGTATATTATACCCAGACGAAACAGCAGTGGAATCAGTATTATCCAGCTGAAACTTGGCCGGTATTAGCATTCACGGGTGCACCCGCCAGTTTCCCGGTCCAACCTGTGAACAAGCCTCTGCAGAAATGTCTCAATTGGAATAACGATATCTTGAATAAAGCGAAGGCGTTTATAAAGAAAACATTGCCAAGAGGCGCGTTTGTTGGCATACATTTGCGAAATGGGATTGATTGGGTATGTGGCATTTGGTATTTGGTATTTATATTTTTATACAGAGAATATACTATTAATATCCTAGAGGGAATACCGATTTCCTATTTATTATATTCGCTTTTCAGGAACGCGCCTGCGAACATATACCATCTGCGCCAGATCTTTTTGCTGCTCCTCAATGTCTCGGTTATCAAAACGAACGTGGCAAAGCAACTCTCTCGATGTGCTTACCATCGTTTGATGTAATAATAACTCAGCTGAAGCGTGTTATTCGCAACGGCAAAGATATCAAATCTGTGTTTGTAGCGTCTGACAATGATTACATGTTGGACAGACTCGGAGAAGCTTTGTCGCGTATGAAGGTAAGTTCGTTTATTACTATCGTGTCAATTAATGCTAATGTTATCATTTCTGCATAGATATCTGTGTTCCGACAAGAACTACCGACATCCTCGCATTTGGATCTGGCAATTCTCGGAAGATCCAACTATTTCATAGGAAATTGCATTTCTTCTTTCACCGCTTTTGTGGCCAGAGAAAGAGAGGTCAGGGGATATCCTACGTTCTTCTGGGGTTACCCTCCCAAAACAAGAACAGAACTGTGATATTATATTTTGTAACATGATACTTGCCAAATGTGCGCAATCATCAGTTTTTTGATAATTTTTATATTTATATATTATTGTATTAAGTATTTTCATGAGATTAACATTATACATATGTTTATTATGATAAAATACAATTGTGGCATCTACAGAGTAGCCCAAGTCATATTATATAAAATGTTTTCAATCTTCAGCATATATTTCGCAATAAAAAAAGTTTATGCCGAAGCAAATTCGTTTAACGCGAGTATCTCTTTTTTTACTATTGTATAATATAAAAATATCACTCTTTTTTCCGTCACACAAAAATTGCGAACTTTACTACAATTTTATTCACTTCCTATGTCTCGCATATCCCACAGTGTCTGCTGTAAAACATAAGCGAAATCTTTCGTATTAGTCTCGTTGCACGATTTAAATGACGAACAGGCAAATAGAATATCCTTCGGTCGCGGATTATAGCAGCAACCATAACCATCAGGTACAACCGGTCCATAGCACATAAAAGACGCCGATTTATATTGCACCTTTAAATTAAAAAAGTATATTGATTAGGAAATACGCTTATCTTTTTGTTAAAATATTTTCACTTTACTGTTTTGCCAAAAAAAATTTTTTTAAAAGCCAACTTTAAATTACCTGACTTGATGTTAAATTGAAATGTGTACTTCTGGTGTAACCAACGTCTTTATATAATTCTGGGAGCTCCATTCCTTCGCTTTTTGCTATCATTTTTAAGCCAAATAAATGCCGGTCGACGCCTTGACCCGTCGCAGCCTATGCAAAAAAAATGTATATATGTTATGAGAAATTTTATTATTCGGATACTATACATAATGCCCGGCCAATATGTACAATGCTCGATTAATGTTATTCAGGCCCAAAGTATTCAAATTTTCCATAATATATACATTATATATTATAAAGATAATGATTAAATGATTTATATCTCACTTGTCCGGCGCATTTTTTATGAATATTTATAGCTTTGATCATCATTTCTTTCTTTTGTTGTTTGCTCTTGTATTCCCCAGGAAGCATTACTTTTGCGAACTCGATTGACTCTGTGCTGGTTGACCTGATACACTCGGTTCTAGCATTAATAAATCTTCGTAATGCCGCGCTTTCGTAATGAGCTGGCGCCTTCCTTTGTAAATTATAGAAAGTCACTTGCATCGCGATCTGAATAAAACTGTCGGGACTCAAGTTAATTGCTTTTATAGCGTCTGCGCCAAATTTGTCGAATGTAAAACATTCCATATCTATGTCGTCTGAGAGTCTAAAAAATCACAAATATTATACATTAAACAGTACTGGCGTAATTATAATCATAAAGGGATAATCAACTTACTTATCTACCGTAGCAGTAGCTATTTCGATTGCACGGTCTATAGCGTCGTTAGTTTCAAACTTCAAAAGTTCTGGTCTCGGGAAATTCGCAGACTTTCCGTCCCTTGCGCTATTTTCTCTTGTAGCGCTGAAAATAGATGGAAATTATTATTTGCATTTTATTAAAATGACATTTTATGGAGCATTTGGGCACAATTATTATTTACATATATTTTAATACATAATCGTGAAGGACAGCAACTGGAATTCCTTCACATGGACTGTGTTCATATTCCATACCAATGTAACCATCGGCGGATATTATATACTGTAAAGATATACATATCCCTTATTTATCAAAAAATATTATATTAAATATTTGGTTTATCTAAAACCATTTATTCATAAATGTTAGTCAGATATTTTACCTGTACAGTTTTGTCATGCCATCTGTTTCCAGCGTTTACATAGCTACTATAGCCTGTCATAGTTTGAATCGCTCTAACTGAAGCGTTGTTCTTTTCCTTAAAAGCGTCTTTAGGTAAATCCTTATCCAGACACAATATAAACAAGGAATTTTCTATATCCTTCATTATATTCCTATTGTTACCCAGTTCTAAAAATAACAACAATAACGATTCGAGATACATAATTAAAAATTGTGTGGTTTGAAAAGATGAAACACAAATTGTATAAAGATAAAAAAAAACAAAAAACAAGAAATAAACTGATTCATAAAACTGAAATAAACCTAAAAGTAAGCTATAATCCTTTGCCCAAGTGTCTCTATTATTTCCAGTTAAAATTCCTATGGGCTTTCCTTGAGTACTTGAGCGATCTGCGATATCTTTTATGGCAGCTACAAGCTTACCCTCGCTTAAAATGCCATCTTTATCGACAACATCAAGTTTAAAGAACTG